TTCCTAGCAAAGGGAACATTTAAATAATAGTTTTAGGTCAACCTCTACATTAAGGTTTTATGTTAGCCTAAGAGTCACAGCCCATTCCCTTGCTGGGAATAAGCATTTCTCATAAGAACCTGGGCAAGTTTCAGTTAGGGGGAAGAGTCATTATTTTGGAGGACAGGACATGGGGATCAAGTGATGGGTCTTAAGAGCTTCTAGAAGTTTGTGAAGCAGCTGGACACCCTGCTCTAGCCAGCACTGCAATGTCCTCCTTCCCCTCATCTCCATCCACTGTTGAAATACCAGCAAAAGTATTGCATGCAGGTTTAGGTTATATCAAATCAGACTGGTACCAGAGTGAGAAAAGTAGGTGTGGGGCTGTCTAAACTTACAAAATACCTTCCTTCTATTTCAGCTCTTAGTCTCCATGGTTTATTTTTTTCAATTTTTATTTTAAATTGCAAGCCAAATGTGCAGCCCTCATGTCACCTGTCACGCTCAGTGCTTCTCAGGTGGAAAGAGACCTGAAATCTGCTCTGAGAATAACACAATGTGGAGATTATTTCATCACACTCTACTGAGTAGTAAAGCTATAAATTGGACTCAAATTCTTCCTGCCTTATTCTAAGCTACAATAAATATCTCAGCAATTAATAAAGAATCCTTAAGAAAAACCTAACAAGATTTTTCAAGATGCTTAGGTTCAAGCCTTGATCTAGGGGTGCATTATCTAAAAGTCATGGTAGGTAACCATGGGAGAAATTCCTGACACATCAAGGTATTTATGCATGCACAGAGGCCCCATAACAGTCTTTATCCCTCCTCACAGAACAGGGCAAATGGTGTGCAGCTCCTTGAATCTCCACAGCTACCACAAACCTTCTCATTTGCACAAAACTGTGCTGTACTTGGCTATGGTTAGCTGACTCTCAACTGCTCTAACACATCTGCACTGCTTTTGAAAATCAGAGTAAACCCAACACTTTACAGTCTTGAAAAGTCAATGAATATTCAACAATTTTTGGGCTGCACAAACTTGCCTCTTTGTGGCACAGACTATGACCCAGGAAATGCAAATTTGCCCTAAGCCTCTCTCTGCATTTTCCCTTTGTTCAATATGGCTGTGTAACTCATGGAGCTGGATCAAATCAGACACAAGACAGATTTTTTAGTTTTCTGCCACTGGGTCTAAAGTAGTAAAAACTAAATTGACACTATCTAGGTTGGCAAATTGAAAATTTATATTTGCCAACAACAACAACAACAACAAAATCTTTGTTTTTAAAATGTCTTCCTTATTCTGCAAGTCTTAGTGCAATTTGCCAGCTCAAGATCCTGGTTTTGTCTGACATTAGCACAAGTACAGAGAATGATACAACACTTTACTCCTTCTACCACCATTCAATAGCAGAAGTCTTGAATATTTCTGTGTTCTACTTGCTTGCAAAATTAAACCACAAATGAAAAAGCAGAGGATAACTGAGATGCAAAAAGCACAGCCTACCTGTCCACAAAGCAAACAATAAGCATATCCCTATTAGCTGTACCAACACTCTCTTCATATTTAAACTGGCTTATTTCAAAAACACTGCTGAGGAGCAGTACAAAATGAAAACAATGTTTACTACTTCACTAGAGAATTGCTGAGAAATTTATTTTAGCTTAGAATAAAGCAGGAAGAATTTGAGTTCATTTTACAGCTTTACTACTCAGTAGAGTATGATGAAATTATCTCTGTATTGTGTTATTCTCAGAATGGATTTCAGGTCTCTTTCTACCTGAGAAGCACTGAGCATGACAGGTGATGTTAGGGCTGCACATTTGGCTTGCAATTTAGGGCTGGCAAGAGAAGGATTATGCCATCTTGAGAAGTGCTTAGCATCTCCAGCAAGACATTGGATAAATTCCAGTGAAGGCCACTGGAGAATTGATGCCACTGAGCACCGCAGCAGAATTGCGCTTTGCATATGATCTGGTTTGCATCTAATACAAACCTCATCTGCAGTCTTGTCCTGGCTGTGGACACTTCTGAATAGGATTTTTTTAATTATGTGGAAAAAAAAATTATCTGAGCCCACAAACTCTCCTTCACAACAAAGTCAAAACCAATTTTAGCATATGAAGAGCAGATTTTTTGCTACAACTGAGAAAGCAGCAGAGGTGGCTTTTAGTGACAAGCAATGTGCAGACAATTTTAGTAATGTCCAGTCTCAGTTTAGTATGAAGATTTGCGAGCAGGAGTCTGAGTTGCTATTTTTTCATTCTACCATATGTTAGTTTGAACAATTTTTTCTTTTTTCCATTTTGCTATGATGAATATCATTGCTTATTTCATTAGCAGCAATAATTTATTTCATGTTGAAAATGGAACTGGAAGACTGCAGTAGTACTGCAGGCTTGAGAGAATTGATAGAAAGAGTAGCCACTGTAAATTGTGAAATGCACATCTGGAAGAAACACTCAAAAATTTAGTATTTAGGGCAAAATTTTAATATTTATAACAGAATATACTTCTTGATGTGTGGCATTCTTCTTTTAGTATGATATTGCCATTGCCTCAGTACCCTGACGTGGTGTTGTAGAATATTGATTGTGAGGATATTTTCTGTCAGCTGAGATGTGTGAGATCTTAACCTCTAGTGATCAGAAATTGTCTCATGGTGTTTTTCATATGAAAAGAGATCATACCAGTTCCAGCTGGACCTAATCTGCTTGCCCACATCATCCTGCTAATTGAATTGTGCATGTTCTTCATTGCTTTCTGCTATAAAATTGTTGCTAAATGCTGAGATTTTGTGGGTGAACAATACAAGCTCTGGAGAGTTGGTTGTAGTTCAAGTAGAGCAGAATAGAAAGTAGTGCCTAATCATTACATAGCACAACTACTGTTGTAATTTGAATGTTGCTATCCTGACTACTAAAAGGAACAGCAAAAAAATAGAGCAAGAAAGGAGAAAAACAGGGGGGTTTTGTTTCACATCAAACCTAGAAAAGTACTTTTTGTTATATCTTGTCTGAAAAGTCATAGGATACAAAAGAAGTTTCAGTCCAGCATTCCAGAACTTCATTATTTCTGGAGAGATGCTGAGCTCAACAAGGTGAGCAAAAGGCACTTAGGTAATAAAGCAGAAATATAGTTTAGCTATAGCTTATTTATTTATTAATTTATTTAATGCTATTATTGTCAGTGGGTGGTATTGGCATAAATACAGGGCAAGGAAAAGTTTTTAGTGTAAACTGATTTGAAAAGGATTTTTTCACAGTGGTGATACATAGAGGTATAAGTAATGGTAACACAGAAGAGGAACCTACTCCTTTGAAAGTTTAGGGCTTTATAAACTTGCCAATTCTAAACGAAAACAACAAAACAACCCTTTCAAAAATCCATGTACCATTTCTATAACAGGATAACTCGTGGGTGACTCTGGAAAAGAGACATTTTGTTTGTAGACTGAATTCCAAAGTTGCTGGGTTTATACTTAAAGGGATAAATTAGTTAATTGAACTATTTTCATGTCTTTTCTGGATTCCATTAGAAGCCTGTGTTTTACAGCTATCTAGCTATGATTTTTGATTTGTTTTATTGTTTGGTTACTGAGATCATTCAATGTTTCCGCAAGAGACATAAAAATTTGACTTACGTGTGAGTCTTTCTATGCCATTAACTTTTCCTTTTTAGTGAGCAGTCCATGAGTGTAGGAATTTTTAATAGAGTTGATCTGCAGAAGGAAGAGGATGATTAGTACAAGCAGGCAAATAGTGCACAGGAATGTTATTTGCAGCATACCCACTGTACTCTGTTTCTTGAGAATTATGAACATATTTTAATTCCCAGTCTGTGGAACTGGATGGCTTTTAGATGGAGATGGATTCTTCCCTGGCTGGTGCAGGGAAGAGTATGTTTCTTACAGGATGTTTCTACCAGAGCACAGTCTCAGAAGGAGAGGGTGTTGGTTATCACTGTCTGCCTTGGGGCCTACAGTTTACCTGGGGAGCACAAAAACGGGGAACAGCTGCAAGTGGGGTGTTGTATGTTAACATATTCTCTCATTCACTCACCTCTCTCCTGCTGTTTCCTTGATGATCAGTATTGAGTGTTGCCAGTGGGATGGTGGCAGTTGTTTTCCACTGCTGCGGCTTTTCCATAATGAAGTTTCTGCTGTCAGCAGCTACAAGATTTTTGCTGGATACACTAGCTGGCTTCAATCCCAGTGCATCCTGCTCTGAAAGCAGGAGTTCCTTTTCTACTCTCTTGCTCTACATAGCAGATGACAGGACACCAAGGAATCTCACTCATATGGTGGTGCAGACCTGTGTTTGTGTGTTTTGTGTGTTTCTGTTCTTGAGCTGGTATGATTTGTTTCTCTTTAGATGTAGTCCAAGCAGTTTTAAATGGCATTTCCTTCAATGTGATCTGAAAACAGAACAAACCTAGTGACCAGAGCTATGTGTGAGTTTGTCCCTAGTGTGCACTTCGGGAGGTGTGACTGCAGTACACTGCAAGCTTGAAGCCTGAGGGTGGGGCACAGAGAAAAGTGTGCTTGTAGGTGCCCACAGATCTCAGTGACACTGTTTTGTGTAGCTGTCCTACCATGAAGTCTAAGACTAAGGCTTTTTTGAAGTGCCCTGGCCCCACCAGGGTTAATATCAAATGGGAGAGCTGGGTTTCACTGCTTGTCTCAGCTTTCCCATCTGTAAGTTACCACTTGGGATGCCCGTTTTCTTACCACTCTTGTCATGTGTTAAACATTCGTAATGCACTGGTCTCAAAATGTGTTGAATAAAAAAGGTAACAGACTGATTAAACTAAAACCTTATTTGTGCGCCATAGCTGTTTCATTTTTGGACTATGGCATCTTTCCTCTGTACTTGGTATCTCAAAAATTACAAGAAATTAATTCCTTTATAGTGGCATTTGATTTGCTCTATTTTAAAATTAATGATATACAAATTATATACATCTTTAGTTTACCTTTAGAAAAAATTCAGTGCATGTCCTTTTGTTATAATTGCAGCAATCACTGAAAAGGAGAGGAAGCAAAGACCTACCAAAATCAGAAAAAAAGTCACAGCAGACACCAACAGAGGTATGTTGCAAGTAACTGTAACCTTGATTCCTGTGTGGAGACTTCAGGGAATTATGGAAATGGGGTACATGGTTTACACATTTGCTCCTGCCTTGCTTTTTGCTTTGCCCTTTGTTTTCCTGTATGCTGTGAAATGGAAGAGCTCTTACCCCAGATCTGCAGTCAGACACCACTAATCTCAAGGACCACCTAAACAAACTTGGTGCTGCAACAGAACCCACCAGCTTTCACCTACTCTGTATTTTAGGCAAAGTAAACGGCAGCAGCAGTGAAACAAGATTTCTAGGCTCTATTTGTGCTGGCTTCATGATTTTTGAACACTGTAAAGTATGATAATGTTGCAAGCATAGAAAATATAAGGTTTTTTACAAGCCCCCCTTTTCCCACCCCCCAAGGTACTTCTGGAGACTGTGCAAATTTTAGTCACAAGTAAAATAGTATTTCCCCCTCTTTTTAATTTATTAACCAGTGAAAAAGTATTGCAGGAAAATATCTTAGTATCTAAAGCCATGTACCTGTGATAATCTTGTAAGTTAAGACAATCCCACTGGAGGTCTCCTGTTTGATTTCAAGTTTCTTCAGATACTGCTTTTTTTTTCCCAAGGATGACAATGAAGACCTGAAATGCCAGCTACAGTTTGTCAAAGAAGAAGCAGCCTTGATGAGGAAGAAAATGGCTAAAATTGATAAAGAGAAAGACAGATTTGAACATGAGCTGCAAAAATACAGATCATTTTATGGGGATTTGGACAGTCCTTTGCCAAAAGGTGAAGCAGGTGGGCCACCTACCACAAGAGAAGCTGAACTAAAGCTTCGATTGAGGCTTGTGGAGGAGGAAGCTAACATCCTTGGGAGGAAAATAGTGGAACTAGAAGTAGAAAATAGAGGACTGAAAGCCGAGCTTGATGATTTAAGAGGAGATGATTTCTCAGGGACCACTAACCCACTCCTGGGAGAGCAGAATGAATCCCTGTCAGAATTACGACAGCATTTGCAGCTAGTAGAAGATGAAACAGAATTGCTGAGGAGAAATGTAGCTGATTTAGAAGAACAAAACAAACGCATAACAGCTGAGCTGAACAAATACAAGTACAAGTCTGGGGCCCATGAGAGCTCTAGGCACCATGACAATGCCAAGACAGAAGCGTTACAGGAGGAGCTAAAAGCTGCACGAATGCAGATCAACGAGCTGAGTGGCAAAGTCATGCAGCTCCAGTATGAGAACAGAGTCCTAATGTCCAACATGCAGCGCTACGACTTGGCCTCTCATCTGGGGATCCGTGGCAGCCCGAGAGACAGCGATGCGGAAAGTGATGCGGGAAAAAAGGAGAGTGATGATGATTCCCGCCCCCCTCACCGCAAAAGGGAAGGTCCCATCGGTGGGGAAAGTGACTCCGAAGAGGTGCGCAACATTCGGTGCCTGACACCCACGAGGTCTTTTTATCCAACACCATCAGGGTGGCAGAAAAGCTTCACTGACAGGCAGCAGATGAAGGACATTCGCTCTGAAGCCGAGCGTCTCGGCAAGACAATAGATCGCCTAATTTCCGACACGAGCACCATCATCACAGAGGCAAGAATTTATGTGGCTAACGGGGACCTCTTTGGACTGATGGACGAGGAAGACGATGGCAGCAGAATACGTGAGCACGAGCTCCTGTACCGGATCAATGCGCAGATGAAGGCCTTCAGAAAAGAGCTCCAGGCTTTCATCGACAGGCTCGAAGTTCCAAAGTCTTCAGATGATCGAAGTGCCGATGAACCTTTGTCAGTGAGTCAGGTAGACTTTTACTTATTACGGCCTACAGGTAAAAAGGCTCTGCCAAACAAATTAAACCTCAAATTCGATCTATGGCAGAAAAAGAAAATTCTTTATTCTAGGCAGTGGACAAAAATCACTGTTTCTTATATTACTTGAAATTCTTATTTGGCCATATGAAAACATACTCTACCAATAGGGTTGTTTGTGAACAGTGAATAAATATGGTCTCCTGAAAATTAAAATTATGTTCTAGGAGATAGAACGTTTTACTCCTTTTTGGCTTTGCAATTGCATTTGACGGAGTTGGGCCTTCATTGCCACTAAAGGCAGTGCAAACAGTATTTTTGGTACATATGAACATGATTTATAAATGGTCATTATTGTTTTCTTAGTGGATGGGTTCCTATTAAATGATTAAAAGGAAAATTTTATTAATTTTGAGCAGGAGGAAATACTAAATTTCAAAAACTATAGAGAATATGGCAAACCATAGATTAAAAGAAACCATGCAAATCTACTTTATGGAGTCACAAAGCCACACAGTAATGTGGATATTGTAATTGCTCTAGTTGATTGCATCTTGTTGAAGGCCTGTTGATCACTGCTTGCATGCAGCAGTAATAAGCATCTTTGTTGTGGTTTGTTTTTGTGCAGAATTGTTTCAGAGAGATTTTGGGGAGGAAACTCCTTGCTGACTCAAGATCTTTTGCCATGAAAAATGAAAATTACCTACCCTTATCTTATCATGCAATCCTATAGTTGGCATATCTTGTTATTGCTAATGAAGTTATCCAATGTTTTGTAAGTCTCTTGCTGTGTTAATTTACTTTGTGCTGTCTTGCTAGTTTACAGTCGAAGTAGTTGCCAGGTGAAGCTGAAAGCTATTCTTATTCCTATGCTGACTAATTAGTCTTTTGTTTCCTTGTATCAGAAAGTCACAGACGCAGTGAGTTTAAAGCTAATCAATTACTATACATGTATTGCATGAAATCAAACAGAGACGGCATTTAGCATGCTCACTTTCTGATCTAGCAGTAGTTCTGAGCTTGTAGAGCTCCCATTAGCTTAAAGGCAGAGCACTGCATGGATCTACACAAATTCAAAACAAACTAATTAGTATTTTCTCTAAAAAAATAACAACAATTGAATATTTAACAATTGGACATTTCGGTGCTTGACCATGCAGAACTCCTACTGAAGTAAATGGGAGATGGGCACTTGGTCCCTCCACAAGCATATTCTGATTCACTATTTATTTTGTTGAAACTTTGGACTTGCTATTCCATTAATTGACTGTTCTCTTTGTCTTTGTATTTACTTTCCCAGATGTTCCAGCCTATCATTTTACTTATTCTCATCCTTGTATTATTTTCATCCCTTTCATACACAACAATATTTAAACTTGTCTTCCTTTTTACACTGTTTTTTGTACTGTAAGTCATTCATCATTTACTCTTCATTGTAGTGTTATTTTCAGTTTGTTTATTTTGTCCACCCTCCAAGATAAGAAGTGCAAGAGACATAGTTTCTGTAATAGCCACTGCTGTAAAAACACTGAAGACTACTTGTTTGCCAAAACCAAATCCAAACCAAAAGAACTGCAAAAAAACATACCAAAAAGTCACCCAGTTGAATAGGAAACCTGCTCACTGTGGTATTCCAGGTAAGCAAACAGAAAATTGAGTTTTTCACTTTGTCTGGTTTTGTAATTTTTGAATAAAAATTTCCTGAGGACTGGAACCAATTTAATATTCCTTAATTTGCACCAAAACAGAAACAAAACAGAAAAATGTAGAGTGGGTGTGAGGATTCTATTACTTTCCTCTCCCCACTCCTAGAAAAATAATTTGTGTTTTAGCTACATGAATAGTAAAGCCACATTCTGTGTGTATTCTGCAGTTTTATATCAGAGCTTGTATGTATATTTTGCATAACTGTGATGATAATGTTTTTCAGCACTGTATTATGTGCATTAGGCCCCAGTCAAAATAGTTGTTATATAGAGCACTATGTCTGGAATGGTGGCCAGGAGCTGGAGCCTCTGAGAATGAGAAGCATGAGGAGAAGGTATCAGAGTAGCTGAGGAGTCTTCTGAGAGATATAGGCTGGATGCATTCTCTGTGTGCTCTAGAAAAATGGCCATGCTACTGTCTGACTTGAACTGATTGATGTAGAACTGATGACTGATTGAACTGATGATGATTGGGAGTGGTGTAAGTCACCTTGGCTGGTGTCAAGCTTGTCAGGTAACATTTCCCAGTCTGTGGCTACCACAGGTCTACGTTCTCTCCCCAGATTTGAGGAGGAGTTTTGAATGGACATAGTAACTCCTGGTTTGCTGAGTGACCCCTGTCTAACCGTGCCATTGTAGCCAGTGACCGTAGTGAGGGAAGCTTCTATACAAGTGTGTGCATCAACAGTCACTGAATATTCCTTTCTTGCCTGGGAGAGGCTGAAGTAAGAGTACAGGTGACTCCTTTCTTTCTTTCATACTTACATAGCAGTTCCTACAAGCAGTAAATCTCCCACTATGAAAACCTCATCTGAAATGCCTGATGGAGCTCACTTTTCTGTTTTACCTGACCCATTCTGAAACCACTGAGTCCCACAAATATGAATTCTCGAAGGGTGAACAAGTATGTGTATTAATGACACTTCTTTTTCTGCAGTTTCCATGTTGAATAATGTAGTAGTAAAGAGTGGTAATAAATAAAGCAGCTGTTTTTCTAGCTAGTGGTAAGGATTCCCTTTGATTTATCCTGTTAGCTCTCTGTTCACTTAATTCATTCCCCAGTGAGAACAGTTCATCTCCATGCCTACGTTTTGCTCTGCTACCTGAAATAGCTGAGACACTATTTTGAGGGAAAATCCTCGGAGAGCTGCAAGAGGTGGTGCAATAAAATTTTTGTTATGAGAATGAAAAAATAGTAAAAATATTAATTATTTAAAAATACAGTATTTTTCTCTTTGTCTAGCTTTCCCTTGACACACTCTGCAGGTGCAGTGACCTTGATCAGCTAAATCATTCAACTCCTTGATTTAATCCAAATACTTACTTCTACCAGGGGGTGTTGCCATCATTATCCATTTTATAGTTAGTGAGATGTCTAAAGGAAATTATAATCAATATATGGGAGATAAATAGATAGCTTTGACTGGTTTCCCAGTTAAGGATAAAGCCAGGCCCAAAGTAATTCTGAGAAATTTCTAAGATGCTCTAATTTATGCAGTTACCTAAAATTAAGTTCCACATATTAAAAACTATTATGGCAAGACATGATCAATTCACAGTGAATTTCTATAACTGGAAAAGGCCTTTTGTTTTTCAGCAGCTGCTGCAAACACTAGGAGGGGTTTTTTCCCAATGGATTTGCAATTTGGACATTAAAAATACAATTTGAGGCTTAAACTTGGTATACCAAATCTTAGCACAAAACTGACTTTTTCCGTTTCTTTCTGCTTTAGTATCTCCTGTGGAGGAAAAACCAATCATTTGTGTTTTCTTAAATGTTGCTGACTCAATTTCCATTAGAGAGAAAAAGTCATACTTAATCTAAGATCTGAAGTTCTGGGCTTCTAGTTTTTAACCTACACTTGCTAATACCTTTCTTGGTGTTGTATGCAATAAAAATGAGTACAGAGGGCTTGATTTACAGAGTGTATCAGTAACACTCTAACATAGTAATACACTGAATTCATACATTGAATAAATCTTGGAAATTAATTGGGAAAGATTTGTTTCTTTCTCAGAAATCAGAAAAGAATGAATTACTGAGATGAAAGGTGGAGATAATCTCTGCACAGCACAGGCAATTACAATCCAATTGATTTCTCACTGTATTTTTTCTTGCATAAAAGCTGGAGCTCTCCATCAGGCATCAACAAAGCAAAATCAAAGCTGAGACCTTTTGGGGCATTTAGGAAGCTATTGCACAAGCAGCAGTCTGAAATTAAAGCACACTAAAGCATACAAAATTATTTTAGAAGCTCCATACAGTCTTTGAATCTCTCATGAGCAAGGAGAATGGTGAGGAGCCTCACAGGGAAATCTTAATGAGAAATGAGATGTGTATTTCTTGTCCTTTTGCATTGAGGTTGAAGGGAGTGATTTGAGCTGCTGATCTGTTTCATGCCAGATATTGCACAACTTTAAAAGATGCTGAGAAAGCTAATAGAATGAGTATGGCCATTTATCCATAGCCAGATGATAAGATCTAGCCAAAAAAATAAGTGTTCTATGTCTTGCTAAATTGAAATAACATGATATTACGAAATGCAGTAATTATGGCCAAGAAAGAAAGCAGATTCTCCCCACTCAGTAACTGGCCTGGTGGGTGAAGACCATCTCACAGGTGAGTGAGCAAATGCAGCTCAATACATCGGCATCCTTGAGCAGGAGTGCATTGGAGTCAGGCAGGGCAGAGACAGCCAGAACACTGCTGATTCACTGATTCTGCCTGCTGCACAGCTCAGAGTTCTGAAGACAAACAGTAAGAAGAATACAGATTTTGTTTGCATGTGGCAAGGAGCTGGATATGCCAGGTTACCTATCAGTTGAAATCTCATTTAGCAGATTCACCGTTCCCATTTTGGAATATTCTGGTGAAGTATTAATGTTCCAGGGGAAAAAAGCTATTGAATTTGAACCATGAAATTGCCTTCATTTAGCACTTCCCTGAAATATTAAATTTCTGTTTCCTATGTTCCCAGGGGATTTATTCTGTATTCTTTCAAAAGGAAAAGATCTTCCTTCTGTAGATCTAATTATGATATTTTTTTCACTTGTAGAAATTGGCAATATCTCCAGTGAATTTTTATGTAATTTAGGGAATAGGTGCATTTTTTCCTTTAATGGTACCAGAAAAATTCAATTGAATTTGTTTCCTGTTTAGAGCTGGCTCTGAATGCCCTGACAAAATCCCTCTACAGATACTCTCTTTTACTGCTACTGAAAAATTCCCATTCCATTAGAATGACCATTTTCTCCAGGCTCAGAAATACTTCTTTCAACCAAAAATATCCATGCCTGAAGCTCCAGTTGAGAGATAGTCTGCTGACACATGTCACCAGTGCTTCAGAATCAAAACTAGAAGAGAGCAGGTGCTATAGTGCAGAGCTATGCCTGGCAGTTGGAAAATAGAAAATTGCCAAAAACA